CCCCCAAAACCCCAAAACCCCAAAACCCCTGTCATCTCTTAGCTGGTTGAATTAAACATTTTGTCCCTATAAATCAGCCAAGGATCTAATTTTGTCCTCAAGGTCATGGATGATCCCTTTCAGGGACTTATAACGACTGTATTCCTTAGCCACAGGTTTGACATCATTCATGTATTTAATCTTCCTGCCATTTTTGGTGATAAATTCCTTCTCGAATTTGTCCAACAACATCCGTAAGGATTTACGTTCCTAAGAGAAATCAGAGAGGGACTTACCTTTGTCAAACTCTCACGTTGCTTCATTAATTTTCGAATGCTTGATTCCTTATCTTTCTTAGTCTCTTTAGGGTTGTTATTGATGACATTCTGGTGAACGTTCTCCTTTCCTAGAGAGGAGACACTGCTAGTGTCTGAAATGATATTCTTAGATCTCTTCAGTCCATCATAAGACCTTCTGTTGGACGAGAGAGCTTGGTTTTCTTTCCTCTCAGTAAGCACAGCTTGTTTTCTCACTGTGACACTTGACTTTCTGATACTTGTTTTAGAAGCAATAATGCCTTGCTTCAGTTTCTTGTAGTACATGTAAAGAGGTCGGAGAGGCTCTTTATCCGCCCGTGTTGGATTATACTGGCAGGCTGAATGAGAAGAACCAAAATCTGCTGTGTTTGCAGCTTTTATAGATCCTTTGTAGTCTTCCTCCGGATTTTGTTCCAAATTATCAAACTTTCAAGAAGAGAGTATGGAATCATAAAGTTTTAACTGATCCTTAACTTTCTTATTTTTCTTGATTGAGAAACTCATTCGAAGCCATTTTAGGATTGAAGTCCTTGATGTCCTGAAGAGTTAACCCCAGGTTTTGTAAAGACTTATTCAGGAAATCAATGCCATTGTCATCTACCCATTTGCGAACTTTCATGGCAATGCCACTATCAATAGGTGTTCTCTTTTTATGCGGAGTTTTTGGAATATTTGTTCTAAAATTTGGTCTGGAACCTACTCATTATCATTATATTTTGTCATTATATACTCATAGTTTCGATTTGTTCTATACCATGATTATTAGTAAGATAAAGCTTGGTGCTGGTTAGGCCAGAAAGAGTGGCCAGAGTATTTTCTACCAAAAGGTATCTCTTCCTGATAAATTATTGTCAGAAGAGGGTCATTTCTGTAAAGATCTTACTTGAACAGACTAGAAACAGTCAAGGTGAGCATCCCATTAAGTAATTCTCCGGATTTCATTTTAAAATTTAAATTATTTTGCTTGTAACAATTTTTGCAGTTTTGGAGGGGTTTTGGGGTTTTGGGGTTTTGGGGTTTTGGGGTTTTGGGGTT